TCCTTATGAGAAAACACAAGCGATTAAATAAACAAATAGCTGAATCCACTAGTGATATGAGGAGACAGAGGCTAGAAGATTTGCACAAGGAAATCGAACTCGGGCTGCAGGACTCGCACAGGATGGAAGAACAAGCCGCCGAAGAGCGAGTGGTTGAGGTCAACAAAGAGAACCCCAAGTATTTTTTAAATACGCTCAGTCCAAGGCTAATATAAAGACGCCAGTAGGCCCACTTAAGGATAACGAAGTCATTGTCGGAGATGACCATGGCATGTGTGAGTTACTGGGATCACAGTTTGAATCAGTGTTCAGTAACCCCCGCTACTCAGGGGAGGAGAATGAAATTGAAGTTCTCCAGGAGCTGCCAGGCGGCGATCCATCCTGGCCTGGGGCTGCTACGTCCGAAACAAATATTAAGCACCACACGCTTCATGCAGTGGCACAGCACCCCATACCGATGATAGTAATACGCTGTGATAATAAAATAATTATAAACATATACATTAATATGAAGTTGTGTGCGCCGCGTGGCTGATGAAGGCAAGTCAAGAGGCCTGCCGACGGTCGACTGGGCGTGTTGATCAACTGCCCTACATTCTCAAAAAGGAATTTTAAACATTTATCCTGGGAGTTTGCTGATTCTTGTTAGCTTATAAGCTACCTAATAACAGTAGGATGATTTTGCTGTTGCAATGATTTATACATATCACTACTCATAGTTTTAATATTATATTTCTGGATTTCAATGTTATTATTATTGATTTGCTTAGTCTGCAAATCCATGCAGTGAACATGAATTACAGTCATTTTTTGTGACTCTAACTAAATAAATAAATTCACCTAATGGATAATTTTTCTACTCACTCAAGTGTCGATTAGCCTAACCTTGTTTCGGGTTCTCAATATCACAAAATTTTACCCGTAATCGACCAGGAGATCGCAGAAGATCGACGGAAACTAATTTATACCAATTAACTCAATTAACTTCCTAACTTCAGTGCAAGACACCCGTGCCCCAGGCGTCACCGCAGCCCCAAGTGTCAGAGTGACCCACATTGATGGCCCAGTGTCCCGCGAATGGGTCAGAGTGACCTACATCAATGGCCCAGTGTCCCATGAATGGGTCAGAGTGACCTACATCAATGGCCCAGTGTCCCATGAATGGGTCAGAGTGACCCACATCAATGGCCCAGTGTCCCATGAATGGGTCAGAGTGACCCACATCAATGGCCGTGACCTCAACGCTCAAATTACGCCATTGAGCGCGAGCTCTTCGAAGAATGTGAAGGGAAATGTAAATATTTAATCTACAGTATAGCGTCTCTATATTCGAAAAAGTTATTGAAGACAATGGAATAAAATTTGAAGGACATTAAAATGTTATTGAAGCAATAGGCCTATATGGAATTTGTGGCGCGTGTGGCGGGCATAAGAGCGGCGGCCACTGCGGCGTCCAGCCACACGCACTCCAGCAGCTTCTTGTTCAGGTGAGTGGCTTGGCTTTACTCATGTGAGTGAAATGTGCATGTAAAATGAGAGATGATTTTAATATGAACTCTTTAATAAGATATTAGCGGACTCATAGGTTCTAAATTACACTTATCTTACAAATAATTACTCTCATGATTTGGCTCAAAGTTCGCCCCCACGAAGCCGAGATGAAGTCGTTGCTGCTGTGCCTCTTGCTGCGGCTGCCAGCGTTAAGCCAGTCGCTGACTAGAGGGGCCAGGTTAATTAGCTCCTCTTTATCAATACTCACCAATTAAATATGTATATGTTATTTAACTGCGTTCTCTGCATATAACAATGTGGTTTATGGCCAGAGCCACCCCGTGTCTCGTGACCGCTGGTCTCGTGACGTCATCGGCGGCCGTAGATTTACAAATGGCCTTATTCTTATGTATTCTTCAGCGATGAACTAAACCTTTTTGTGAAATGTAAATTAAAATTAGGAAATAATTTAAATATTTAATGCATGAAGTGTCGTTCTCTTATGAACATTTGTTGAGGGCAGCTCGACTTCCCAGCGTCGGCGCAGCGCCTCCGAGGGTCGGTGAGGGACGCCGGCGACGAGGGTGAGTGGCCTTTATTTTCATTGGATTTTGCGCTCTTTACTGTTATTTACTGTATACTGGAATTCGCTGTATTTAACATCCATATAAAGCGCGATCGTATATTATGGTTGCTTATGTTCGTTCAATTGGCCTCCTAAAATCCCACCGAGGCACCCTTATTCCGTCATCGCTCAGAAATAAACTTTTGAAAATTAGTTGAGTTTTTTCACTCTTTTTCCCCTTTTCCCTTATTGAAGTTTCATAGTAAAATATACTGATCACGGCTTCCATAAAGAGTTTAGTGGCAAATCGTTCACTACCACGAGCTCCCTAAAGTTTTGTTATGAACTATAAGCTTGCCGGTAATAAAATGTCAATAAGTGAACACAATTAAAAATGTTCTGTGTGAACTCGGCGCTGTCCGGTATGAAATACAATAAGTAACTACGCAGTCAATTTTCAATATTAGTATATATGAAATTAGTTAACAAATGAGTGACTTGATAATAGTTCCAACTAACATGTATCGAAACCATTTTAATTTGTCCAATTCTGAACTGATTACCTCCTTCATGTTGCACGCTCCGGGTCTATCTCTGATTGGTGCAGGATTAACGTGGACGTAGTAAGTTAAACGGAAAACCTGTTATTTCGTACGTTTTTATTTCAATTAATTTTGAATTTCGAAGTCGCTCTGCAGGACTAGCACGCATGAGATGCTGAACGATGGTCAACTCATGACCTTCCATCATTAACCTTTATAGTGAACATAAAGATGATAGAATAGAATAGAATAGAAGTGTCGGCGTTGAAGAAATAGGCCCATGGCCTGTTGCCGATTCTTGAACTTTTCGTGACTTGATTCACAAGGGATCCGGCCTTTGGAACCCGATCTTTCTATAACTGACGATTGATTGAGATAGCTGCTGGACTTATTGCCTGATCCGTAATTTGCTAGGCATTTTAAGACTGAACATATGCTCCTGCATAGCTTCGTCTAGTCTGTTCTTGAAGGCGTTCATACTCGGAGCTTCAACGATGCTATCAGGGAGGCTGTTCCACATGTCGGTGACTCGAAGCGAGAATATAATAGGAGATTACTGAGCCAGTCATAATTACATATGACAACAATTAAGCAATTCTGTCCGGTGATCTTCTATCACCCTCTAGGTTATCATACGTAACCATCTTATAGCGTGTTCTGTACCCACATGCTAGAGTCACGCTCAGTGACGTCATCCCTGTTAAGGCCTATATATATCTCGATCTGTGCACCGCTCGTCAGTCGTAGCGGAACTGCCTAGCCGTCACCTTGCTAGCCGCTCCTCCAGCACGTACTTGTGCTGTGCCTGTCAATCCCCTTACTTCTGTACTCACCGAGCCACTTTATTATTATAATAGATCTAGTGTTAACCATTCGTTTCACTGGTCCTGCCTTAGTCATACTTGGAACTACTAGTATCCTGACTCTCAGTTACAAATCTATCAGGGGGTCGCAGAAATAGATCCCTGACAATTCAATTGACTAGAATATGATGAATTGTAATATTTTCATCAAAGGCTGTTTCTTCATAATGGCACATACTTAACGTTCAATAGAAACATATCACTCATGCTCTTTAGTACGGCGTTTAAGTGGGGAAGAAGAGTGCGACACTCCCCACGGGGAAGATCTGCATCGCCTTGTCCACGTCCCCGCTGAGCTACTGCTGCGTCAGAGGCCACTACCTCTGACTGCTTCAGCCCGCTGAACTCACCGCTGGTTTTCCGCTGTTCACCTCACCATCGCAAATTGAGTGATTTTTTACAATTTTATTTAGAAGAATTATTCGCTCTATATGTCAAATTCATTTTAAAGTTTAAGAAAGAATGCATATTTTCACGATGAGATGCGTAGTCAAATACGGCGCCCTGCAGCCCTGTTATCTGAGCGTCTTCATATCTTCATACTTAAATAAGATTGCTTCTCCCCGGCTATATTCATTACCCTCTTTGGAACGCAAAATAAATGGGAAAAGAAGTAAAAATAAGAAATAAATACTAACCGCTATATATAAATTTGAGTAGAGCAACGGAAGACCGAATATTGAGATGGGAAAGCGCCAAGTCCGGGTCCGAAATTGGGTCCGATAAACGACCCTGTGGCGACCGTACGGCCGATGGCCAAAGGAAGGATAAGGACATGGCATTTTATTATAAATTTATATATAAATTTCCTGCACCAATTCAACGGAAAAAATGAGAAAAATGAATTTAGAGCCGCTGTTGCTACTTGCTAGATATTTAAGTACAGTTGATGAATATATAAGTGTTGTTGCTGAAAATACAGATGTATATGAAAATAATAAATATTTTGTTATTATAAGTAGCGTTGCTGCGTGATAAATATCTGTTCTAAATGATGAACACATATACGTCACACAAGGGAAAAATGGCATCGCTATTCCTACGGAGTCTCACTCATTTATCTGAGTTCTCCTTGATGTGTTGGTGTACATCTTGTACTAATGTAGGATACAGTAAGTTCAAGTTTTTTGGGATGGTGTCAATGCTTCATTTCTTTCTCTTGAGAATGACTGTACTTGCCGCAACCTTCTGTGCTTCATAGAGGAGAATGACTGTACTTCTTGAATGCGTTATATCTTTATTCAGTCTCAAATTAACAAATTCCACATAACCGACATATTCTGGTGTTGAATTTCAAGATGCAGACGAAAGAGGGATTGAAGTGGGTATTTAATGAGCGCCCAGCGGATGTCCAATGGGTGCTCAGTGAGTGTCCAATGGATGTCTAGCGGATCCCCAGAGGATGTCCAGTGGGTGCCTATTACCCTGAGCCAGCCACTATATACACTGTTAGAAAATACGGTCCCACTGGCATTCTAGTGGCCGGTCGCCCCGTGAAAATAAACATTTTCGCCGTTTTTATAAGATGTTTTACGGATTTCTAGTGTTAAATTAGAATAAAAACGGCGACACGGTGTTTCTTTTCACGTGCGGACTTGCAACAGAAGCGTAACACCGTTAAGGGTAATTTTTTTCAAAGTGAAATCAAGGCAGCAGTAGCAGCTAATGAGCTTGGTTGGGAAGCAGATTTTCCCAGCGGGGTGGTACCCCCGGTACGTCCCCAACCATTCGGACTGGAGGGGGAAAATTCACTAGTTAAACAATTGAGCGCTCAACAATAACTATAGTTTCCCTTCATTAGCAACAAATACATTAACTTCACTTAAAAACACTAGACAAAATGCTTTAATTACCGAGAACTCAATTTACCTAATTTATAATTAAACAAGTAATAATTATTAATTACTTATTGATCTTCAGAATATTTTACGAAACTGCCACGCACTTAAGCAGCTGAACGAATCAAAGGGACACTGAACTAATTTAACGGAATCGTCATCTTCCGATGTGTGGATTGCCCAGTAGGAGAACATATTTGAGTCCTGATCGTAATAGCTATTGTATCATTGCGATGGCTATTGTATCATTACAGTGGCTATTGTATCATTGCGGTGGCTATTGTATCATTACAGTGGCTATTGTATCATTGCGGTGGCTATTGTATCATTGTGGTGGCTATTGTATCATTACAGTGGCTATTGTATCATTGCGGTTGTTGTCATTTCACTCTACTTACGACTTGGTAATACGGCGTTATGCACACCATCCCGTAGTTGCAAAAAGTCATGGTATCTGTAAGACGATAAATTAGATTACAATGAAAATTAATTACATAAGAACACAGTTTTAGTAGAATAAATTTAATCAACTCACTAAAAAGCCAGTAATTCAAAATCAATCGAGTAAAAAGCATGAAATTTCAGATCTCATTGCGTGACTCCATAACAAGTCGCTAGCAGGACGCAATACAAACCAAAGGAGTACTTAATATTAAGCAAAAAAACAAAGATATATCCTGAAGCTTTTTGACCTACGGAATACAAAACAATATATAGCCCCTATAAGTTTTCAACATGATGAATGCAAAATAATATACAGCGCCTGCAGATATTCAACACATGGGGATAGTTGACACTCACTTTTCTTCCCGTCATCTTGCCCCACTTGGGGCGTCTCTGGTAACACCGTCGGGGAACCATCATCCTGCAACCGGAAAAGTATATTACAAACAGAAAATTTATTTATTATTGATTGCAAACTCACTAATTTACGCAAGTATCCCATTACAAAGACAGCGTCCTATTCATGTTCCACCCGCGCACCATTTTTCCCTCAAAGCTTTCCTTTTAAAACCCCAAAGACCGGAGAGTATTTTGCTTACGCATACAAACGCAATACACAAATATACGCAAGCAGTACACTGATTATTATACGCAATTTTTATTTCTACATCGGAAAAAATTAAATTATTTTCAACGTAAGTAAATAATTGAAATTAATTTCAGAGTTGAGATTTTGCAACTTCAAGACCATGAGTATCACTAAGGAAACTATGGATGGGTTCTTTCTATCGAATTTAAATCTTGCAGTTACAGAAAGCTTCCTCGCTCCGACTTAAAACGACAATTTAAAATTTGGCTACTGATCCCACAGTTTGAGCTATAATATTAAAATAACTTATTTAATAACAATAAAATTATGCTAACCTTGTCACTCCTGACTTCTAGCTGAGAGTCGTCAGCCTCGCCGACAGCAGCGCTGGCAGCCGCGGCTACCAGCAGAAGGAGGCACAGCAACGACGTCTTCATCTTGGTTTCTTAGGGCGAACTTTTTACTGCAAAAAGTTTTTAGATTAAGAAATAAATACAGCTTAATGTTTCAACAATGACAGAGGATCAATCACAATAGAAGTCATCAAATTTAAAATTGTGGCCAAATTGGACTAAGCCAATAGGCCGCGATTTACACGTATGAGAATTGTTGGGCATTTTAAACAGTGGCGAATCAAAGAAGTTTAAGTCTAAACAAAATCCTGGATTCAAAAAGCAATTAAGTGCAGGCTACGGAGAAAGTCATTTCTTGGAGCCTATCTGTCCAGCAAATAAGAACAGCCAAGACACACACATTTTACATGTTCATATTACCCACATAAGTAGAATAAAGATGCAAGTCATTTAATTTATTAGTGAAGCCAAGCCACTCACCTGAACGAGAAGCTGCTGGAGAGTGTGTGGCTGAACGCCGCGCGGTGCCTCTTTTATATACTCGTATTATCGCCCATTTGCACCCTAAACTCTGCAAATGCATCTTGGGAGATAAGCACTCTTATCTCGAGATGTGACGAATAAGCGCGGATTACATTGACTATAAGGGATGTCTTGTTAACGTATTGATCTCTTTAATGCTCGTTGATTAATGAACATATTATAGTACAAAAACATTCCTGCGCTGTTTCCGGAAGTTTTGACTTCTTAGTACAAATTTTAAATGATAGTTCTGAACCCATCATCACCCCTGATGTGCCTATCATGATAAAATTGAAAGTAGTTACTTGAAGAATGCCCAGCCAACAGTACCAGGAAAAAACCCATTGCATCGCACAGTTAAACTGTCTACATAGGTTGTACATTAAATGTGTGGTTTCTTTCTTAAAAAGTTAATAGGCTCTTTAAAATACAAAAGAAATCGATAAGTTGCATACGAGGGAAATTCAAAAAGTTTGTGGAAAACTTTCTTATTCTTATTGGAAAATTTATCGACATTTCTTCATAATATAACCGTAATATTTTTCAGTTCTCAATGAAATCAACTAGCAAGACCTCTCGGCATCCCAGAGAACCTTCCCTCTTGAACAGTCAGATTTTTCTTTGACTGGCCCACTTCTTCCCCTGACCAGCCACTAGCTGCTTAGATCGCGAATTGTCCTAAGGATTGTACTGGTAGAGCCATGTTTCATCCTCGGTCACAACCCACGTAAGAAAATTTCGAAATTCCGATAGAAAAGTCTGCCCTTGATTCCTGCCGATCTGGGTGCAACAGCCTGGGATGCCCTTGAGCAGAGGGCTTGCTCAGTCCAGAGATTCAATGATTTGGCTGTTCTTCCACCCAAGCTTCACCTTGAATTTGATGTTTGACCTGGCCTCGATTTCGGCAGATGCCATGTCGCATGAACGGCTGTTGCTTTAAAAACAGCGTCCCGCGTTTGCAACATTAATTTAATAATTCATTTGAGAAAACGTTATAAATATTGATACAGGATCGCTCTGGTGCATTTGCATCATTTGTTTTCGGTGTAATGTATATGGTAAATGTACGTGTGTTTATTTTTAAATGAATACACTTTTTTACAACCCGGCACTTCCGCATGCGCAGTGAATCAGGTTGGCTTCGATGAAGATGAACAGGCATTGGTTGAGATGAACAGGCCTTCGAAAGCCGAACAGGCCTTGGTTGAGGCCTCAACCATCCGACGAGTTCAAGTTCAGGTTCAAGTTCAAGTTCAGTTTCAGTTATGTCCTTTTCCACTAACTTTTTGAAGCACCTTCATATAATTTGCATGACGTTCTTCACACCTTTTAGTAGACTCTGGAGCATCCTAGTAATTCTTGAAGCATCCTCGTAATTTCTTGAAGCACCCTCGTAACTTGCAAGACGTTCTTCACACCTTTTTATTAGACTCTGAAGCATCCTCATAAATGTTGCTCATATGTCGCCGTAACAGGGGAGGGTTGTGGGTGTAGCGCACATAGCATTATAATGGGAGGCATGAGGGTTGTGGGTGTGACGCACATAGCATTATAATGAGACGCATAATGAGACGCAGGAGGGTTGTGGGTGTNATAGCGTGACACGGAAGGGTTGTGGGTGTGATGCACATCACACTATAGCGTGACACGGAAGGGTTGTGGGTGTGATGCACATCACACTAAAGCGTGACACGGGAGGGTTGTGGGTGTGATGCACATCACACTAAAGCGTGACACGGGAGGGTTGTGGGTGTGATGCACATCACACTATAGCGTGACATGGGAGGGTTGTGGGTGTGATGCACATCACACTATAGCGTGACATGGGAGGGTTGTGGGTGTGATACACATCACACTATAGCGTGACACGGAAGGGTAGTGGGTGTGATAAACATCACACTAAAGCGTGACACGGAAGGGTAGTGGGTGTGATAAACATCACACTATAGCGTGACACGGGAGGGATGTGGGTGTGATGCATACGATAAGTTAACCTCAACTAGACGCCTGTCGGTTTGCTTGGCTGAGGCTTCCACTGCTTCTAAACTTGTGCAGTTGGAACCTCATACGCGTTCATTTGGTCCTGTGTAAGCCATACACACATACAAGATACGCCAACTTAAAATCTTTCTCCTCCTATGATTTTCAGGCTGCAGCTTTGAAAGTCACGTCATTCGATTCGTAAATTAATATCAATCCTTGAGAAAAATTTATTTTAAGGTGAGCGTCTACCCTAGTTTCTTGTTTTCTATATTTTTCATTTCATTTTGTGGGAAGAACTATTACAAATCGAATAAAAAATACCCTTGGGCTTCAGCTGTCATGGTTTTATCGTGAGGTCGTTTTGAACTTTTATACAATGAACATTTTATAATCATTGTTTATAAAGATTTCTTAAATTAAACAGGTATTTATAGATCATTATTCGAGTTAATTGCAATATGTTTGCATTCGTTTCAAAGCTGTGAACAAGAAGCGTTCAATAAAGCAATAATCATGGGTTTACATGCAAAAATTTTTGCGTACGGTCGTTTTGAACTATAATAAAATGACCATTTCATTACAATATTTACAAATTAGTATTTCAAAAATGGTATTTATAGATCATTATTTACGTTAATTGCAATGTGTTTGCACTCATTTTAAAGCTGCCAAGGATACGCGTTTTGAAATTTTATAAAATGACCAATTTTTATAAATAAGTATTTCAGAAAAATCATATTTATAGTTTATCTTTAGCGTTCAACTCCACGAGAATAATTCTAAAGACGCGTGATGGCACGTTCAATCCCAGTAATTGTCAACGGGAAAGCTGGGGCTACAGTATCAAACAATTGTTTGGCATTTTTCTCTATTTTCAATAAATTCTACTTATTTGGCTCCCATGAACAGTTAAAATTTACAAGATAGGTACGCCTACTTAAAATCTATCTCCTCCTATGATTTTCAGGCTACAGCTTTGAAAAACACATCATTCGATTCGTAAATTAATATCCAGCGATCATCTGGTTACTTATTTTATTTCGTTATAGTTTGGATTATATATTGAAAAAACGAATGGGGGGGAGTCGAAAATTGAAAAAAAAATCGAAAAATATCCCCCACCCAAAAAATACCCCAAAAAAATAAGAATTTGGAAAAAGTGGTCGGTCAATCGTCAAAATATATTTAGTAAATTTTCTTTTTTGAATAATTTCTCAATCTAACACTGCGATATCGAGGAAGAAAATAAGTCTGTAGCCGTTATTCAGATATGGTCTTTACGAATCAAATGATATGTCGCTCGATGGTGTAGCACGTTAATTGAAGGAGGAGTTTTACAGTACCCCCTTTTTGTCGTTTCCTATGTATTCCACGTTTTCTTTCATATTCTCGAAAAATTTACACGAACAAAAAAGCCTCAGATTTTTGTTTTACATATGTGTACCAAGTTTCAAAAGGATCTGAGGGTAAATGCGAAAGTTTTTTTACCGGAACTCTCCCCTTGATTGCACATGTGTATTTGGTTCTTTATTGGATAAATTATCCGTGAATAAGTCTGTTATCCCATGTGCTTGCAGCAACCATCAATAATTCAGTAATTTTTCTGTAACATCATAGAGCAAGTAGAGAAAAATCTTTCGAATTTATTGACATTTAATCTTCTTCTCCAGCATAGAGCAGAATGTTACTCACTGTCCTGAATTTTAGTAAAATCTGTGCTGCGTGAATATATTTAGTAGATTTTATTTTTTGAATAATTTCTTAATCTAACACAGCGATATCGAGGAAGAAAATAAGTCTGTAGCCGTTATTCATGCTCATTAAATTATTATTTCTACCAGGATTCCTAGGAATTTTTGGTACTCATTGTATTAGTTGCTCCCAAATATATGAACAATTTTATATATATGCTTTATCTCTCGATTTTTACTCGCTTTTTCTGTTGGAAAAATCATGTTCGCAGAGATTTAGAAACTGGTCGCTCATGAGCCTCCTTGTGATTCAATGTTAGTGTCACTTTCGTTAAATATTTAACGCACTTGTGCTTGTAATTTTAATGAATTATTTGTGATTATATAGGCAGTTTTGAAATGTTAATATCTTTTTGTAAGGTTAAACCCCCAAGGCCTCGTCTTATTTAATATTATAATTTTTTTATTTAAAAACTTCACAACTGTTGAGTTTTACCGGCCGTTTAACCGGTGCATACTATTCTCCGCGTTCTTTCTTTATCTGCTCTGCGTCATGATTTTTCTTCGGTGTTTAATTTTATTTCCACTGAAGTTCATTAAAATTTCTCATCCACTTCCCTGATCGGTTAAAGTCCTGAGGTTTGGTCTGGCTGGCGCTGCTGTATATAAGAGCCTTCGGACATCGCCGCGCTTACAGATTGCCCGTTCATATCAACTTCTTTTTACAATAAATACAATTCTACGCACTCCTAAGATACGTATGAGCAGCATATTACTTTCAGTGAGCATGCCTCATAAAAAAAACATTGCTAAATTTAACAGGAGATCAGATATATTATTTTATATAATACTGTTATACATAATATAACACTAAATGTACTGGGCGTAAACTTTTGCTTTGATGAAGTCCCTGTTCAATTTTAAACTCCCCTAAGTTAGATCATCAATGTATCTTACACTATTAGGTTTGGGCAAATAAAAAAATTTATGTTGTGAACTTTTATCGTAAAACTCTGAAGACTCGGCACTTTAATTAATTCGTTAATAATGTTTTACATTTGAAATTGTGCGCATGATATTCACGACATAAAACTACGATGCGTTTTGCTCCCGCGGTGCTTACCAACACGAAATAGAATCACTAAATTTGTACAACAACAATTATGACGCAAGTCAAATAAATAATTTTATTGTTATATTACTGGGAGGATGTTCAAGTGAAGACGCTTGAGTGTCGTCAATGTGACAGACCGACGGGCATATGACAATGCATGAGCATCCAGCGAACTTTAGTTTCTGATACGGGACGTCAAACCCAGTGCACTTGGAAAATAGTTATTT